AAAAAAAAAAAAAAAAACAAAATTTAAAAAATTTAAATACCTTTGCTGTAACACTGACAAATTCTTCACATGCACGTATCATTTTGACTGCAGTACTTTTAAAAAGATTTATCCGTTCGTTTAATGAATTTCTTTCCCCAACAGAGTCGTCATTCAAAGCATTTAACAACTCACTTGCATGCTTGGCTACAAAAATAACATATTAATTTTTGCATTCTTCAGATCACCTATTTGTACAAAAAATTTGCAAAATAGAAAAAATTCCTCACAAAATCTAGTAAGGAAAAAGTTTAAGAAATTTTCAGCAAGGAAGTAACATCAAAAACTGCCGTTAACAGTTTTGTAGTAAAAAGTAAGTGAAAACTACCAAAAATAATCGTTGCAAATAAAAAAGCGAACAGATGGTCAAATGCTACCAAAAACTAGAATACATTTCTAAAGATACCCCTACCCAGCTAATATCATCTCAACCATGCCTTCAAAATTTTAACATACCCTGGTAGATGATTCTCACCAATTTGTAAAATTGACTGAAATGCTTAATTGTATCATTTTTGTTCCATCAAAAACAACTTGCTTAATTTACACAATAGATGAAAATATTTCAAAAACTCATTAAAAAAGCACAAAAATGACAATTATTCAGAATTCGTCAATCAGAAGTAAAACAATTTTATACCCTTCTATAGCCATAGCTCCCATAAGTGTGCCTTTGCCAGAACTAAACCAACTTAAATGACTTCTAATGTTCAACTGCATTTCTATTCTTCTGTTCCTTGAACAACAATAGATTGCAAACTTTAGCCACCCGGTATCCCAAAATCAAGCATGCAAAAACCCAATTTAGAAAATCTGATATCATACTAACCGCAGAATATGTCAGTTCCATGACTCCTATAAAAATAAAAGTATAATCTTACCAATCAGTGCATTGCATTTGCGAAGTTCCTCTAGTTTACTCTGCAATATCTGATTCATAGAGTCAATTGCAGCCTGGCTGCCACAGCTGGACGAAGTTTCCAACTTAAACTCTTCATCTTCCTCTGGAAAAAAAGAATTTTTGACACACTTTCAAAACAGTGGTATATCAACAAACAAACAAACAAACAAACAAATAAATAAATAGATAAATGAATAATCATATGTATACATACATAATACTCCACTTAAAAGTAATACATATCACACAAAAAAGCTGCACACATAAAAAATAATTTATAGCCATTTTGAAGAATAATGGTTAAAATGCCATGATTCCGCAAAAACTCAATTCCCCTAGTTTAATTATAAATTATTAGAAGCTATACAAAGTTTCCAACGCTGTTGCACTGCTGACAACAACCTGTGTCACATCTGATAAAGTGGCAGAGTCGCAAAAACTCTAAAGCCGCCGACGAACAATAACCTTACTCAAACTTTTCCACAAGCATCAGAAGACCCAAAAAAACGTCTAGTGAAGTAGGTAAACAAAAAAAAGTAAAAAAATTTGGTTCCGCGACTGCACTATTTTCCCCTATCATATATCATAGTACACTATCTCGTTTCCCCTGAAGCAAACAAAACCTTTGCCTCAGTTTAATCATGGAATGTCAGAATTCAGCAATTTCTGCGCATCACTTCCATATTAAAATAACATGATAATCGTCTGTGCAGATCACGCAATTTCAGAGATATTTCTATCGAGGCGTCATCAAACAGTCAGAACAAACTTTCGGAATCGAAAGCAAAGTTTGATTAAAACTAGTCGTACAGAAAATACTTGCACCAATTAGAATGAAACAGCTTCCACAGTCATCACAGACATTCTGTTTACACAAAAAAAGTACGAATATTTGGAAAGGAACTTTTTCGGAGACTAAATTCAGCGTACACCAACCACCAATAGACTGTCCCTTCGTAACTTGCTAGATATAGAATCCAGCTACCTTTCTTTCTTTCAAACCACAGCCGAGTATTCCTGCGTAGTGCTATTTCATACTTTCAACTACGAGCCTAATCCCTTAATAGTGAAACCAAAATTCCCTCATTTTTCTAGAAACAAAGAACCCATACTTCCACACCGATTCCGGGCCATTTCGAACCAAAACATACAGATCTACTTCTTGAATTCGAGCCTGATTTCCTTTGAAGAGGTTAATCCCTACCTTCCAAACGACCTTGATTCCCTTCCATCTAACCAGTAAACTGCGACAAAGTTAAGTGTTGTCCTCTGAATGGAATCAACTAGCCTTTGAATAAAAAGGTCCAAAAACTAAAGGAACAGCAAAAAAGCAGTGTTCTTTGGAGTAATAACTGACGTGAAATTTGCCACCAGTTAATAAAATCAGGTAGTACCAGAGTGACTTGAAGAAGGAAATTATTTACAAGGCAAAGGCAATTTGACTCTAATCCTTTGGTGAAAAAGCGTCAATATATCCCAAATTGCTCAAACTTCTCATATTTGCTCAAAATCAAAAAATTTCGTCTATCCGTTTCCAGTAAATCTCACGCTACATCTTTACTTAAAACTAGAACTTTCTTAAACAATTACGTCTAAAATAAGGAATAACCTCACTCTGGCCACCGTTTTCAAACTCAAAAAATACGTGAATTTATCAAAGAAAAAAGAGTTATTACAGAATCACATTTATCGGTCTTCCCATCACTCATGAATATCTCCATCTCCTTAAATATACTTCTCAAATCATTTTAACCACCCGTCCGATTTGAGAAAAACAAATGTATACAAATGACCAGTTACAAATAACCTCCTATTAAATTATTTTTTATAAAAAACAAGTACTATAAACCTGATTCAGCAGCTTTAACCGCCCGATGTTTGGCATATTCTAGAGCTTGAAGCCACTCTCGGTAATCACAGTCATTCTGCGCTTTAACATGAAAAGTCTGTGAAGAGGCTGTTATCGTTAAACTGTTCAGCTTATTTTCTCCATGAATCCTAGCCTCCTGTAGATTTATACTACCTCTACACGTTTGTCCAACCTCGGAATTGTTCCTAAAAATAACATTCTGCAGTTACAAACAAATTCATTTCCTTTGCAATTACAAAATTACCCTCAAAACCAATTCTAAAAAATTTTATTTCAAACAGTACCAAGAACAAGTAAAACTCACGTGTTTGTCGTTAGTCTTTTTTGAAAAAAAAAATTAAATAAAAAAAAAAAAACAAATGTTTACCGTCTACCTAAATTAACAAGGAAAAAAATGTATTCGCCTCTTACGCCCTAATAGGCTTTGCATCTGTCAGACGTCATTGGACCCCTTTCCAGGCAAAAGAACAAAACAGAAGGGTTTAAAAAACAAGCAGAACTATAAATCATGGTACTGATAAGCCTCTACTTTCCTTTGGTCAAGATGATTGCGGACATATTTCACAGCAACAGCTATTGACTGTCGGTCGTAAAAGTTCACTTCTTCTATTGAACTTTTACACTGGTTGCTCACAAAAAAAGTCCAAACTATATGTTTTCAGCATTAAAGACATTAATCAAAAAAGCATATACAAAAACTGTAAAAGCCAAAGCGTCAGCTAAAACAAAAAACGAACAGGGAAAATGACCTTGGAAAAAGAGAGAAAATATTCAAACAAACGCTGAGATATCCAACTGATTTCTATCAAGCAGAGCTAGCTGGTGTTACCATCTACTAGTCAGTAAGCTTCACCGCATTCGTTCTCCGCCAACAAAAAAGAAAAAACGATAAGTAGGCAAAAAAACCACGTATGACAGAAATATGAGAAATATTTCTTTCATATTAAGACAGCAAAACTAGCAATAACGAATAGGCAGACGATCAGTAAATGAAAAAGAAAGAAATTCTTTTCTGACGGCAGCACTTGGAGACAAAGGAAGAAGCTGAACAATGACTAACAGGTTACTTCACCTACAACACCCTCTTTTTATTCAATATCAGATCTCTTCAAGTTCAGTATGTACATGAATACAACTCAAAGAAGAATTGAGATGATTTAATGAGAACATTAGCTGGAACGTTAAAAATATTGAAAAATTTTTTATACCACTCGTGCGGCTTCATAGACCCCAATAAAACTGTACCAAAAGTATTGGTATTCTTGATTCACCACTTCCAACATTTTCAACATAACTTGTCCACTTAAAATAAACTATTACACAACGCCGAAAAAAACTGAAAAATCATGAATCAAATTAGTGCATTACATAAATCAACCTTCAGTACAAAAAATAATTTCTGATGACTTTTCCACGTACCAAAAAATACTTAAGATGAACATTAAGTATCAAATGTTCTTCTTCAGAAAGTAAAAAGCAAGTCTTAAAATTTAGAAAAATAAATTCGCCAAATATCTGCGGAACATGCACAAAAATGTAAAAAAAATACATCATTTTCAATAAGAAGATAAAAGTTTGAACCTATTCAAGAAAAAATATGCCACCGCTTAGAGAAACTAAATAACAGAAAAACTAATGGGAAAAATCATGACTACCAGAAAAACAAAAACCAAGAGCGAAGCTAAATAAGAATAATCACCATATGAACACCTTTCCTTTCGTGGCCCTGAATATGTACTGAATTCGCAGATCAGATCCATCAACAAAAAACGGTAGAAGATTTCAAATGCAACTATAAATGGCTTAATTTTTCGGTAAAACAGTTTTCTTTTCTTACTTGTTCTCAAAACTATAACAGATTACCAGAAACGATATCACTGTCCTCTACAATAAAGTCACGCAAAATGTTAGAAATAAGCTTCAAAAAATACTGCATAAAAATAAGATTAAGAAAAGTCATTATGATGTAAGCATGATAAAAATAAGCATTAGCTGCTCCAACAGAGTACCTTAAAAATCCTGTCGCCAATCTTTCATTAGAAATTATAAAATGTGATACCCCACCTCCCTGGCCTCCACAAAGTAAAGTGAAAATTTGAACTTTAACACCAACCAAACTAAATTTTACAAAAAGACAATACGCAAGAGACAAGTTCGCTGAAGACGTATTGAAAACTTGCCCTTTATCACCAACCACCCTAAAATACCAATTTTGAAATCAAGGGGAAAGTACTAAATTTCAACCTTGATTTCAGCGCTTCATTCTTTACCGTTCAGAAGGATACGGGTGAGGAAAGTTAGCGAATTTTGAATATCGGTGGGTTACCTATTTAGGTGCACGACGTCGGCGACACGACGTTTGATGTTCCGCAGGCGCTTCTTCAGTTTCATGGATATTGGTACAATTGAATGCGCTGATGAGAACATCGTTGTCCCCGTGTGTTTCTTCAGTTCGCCTTCCCCTTTTTTACACTCTGTCTGTCTACACTATACTCTCTTCCGCCAGAATCTTTTCGTCACTGTTACCAAACCAATAAAAATAACCACCTTGCTGACTCAATAACCGCTTTACCGCTACTACCACCACCACCAGAATAATGAAAACAACGAAAACGACGACGATAACAGCAATACAGAAATAAATAATAACTAAATGACAACAAAAAACGACATCTTCGATAAAACCCGCAATAACAGCTTCAGCAACGACGGTGAAACTCTTATCGATGCTTTATAAAATCCTCAATTAGAAACCTCAATATTGCATATCCTTGTTTTTAAACCATCTACTAAAACAACATATAGTGTCGCAATATTCGCCAATAGAAAAAAACCTTTAAATCATAAAAATTTTTGTAAGTTTCTTCCAAATAGGAAGGCAATTTTACCACTGCTACTTAGATAAAACCAAAGAAACAACTTTTTACCCAACAATAACAATGTCCCACGCGTTAGCAGTCATTGTTATGCTATTCATATCACTAAAACTTACTCCCCAAACTTTTCTAGTTACAGAAAGCTACTGACTAAAAACCAACTTCATGTAGGAATGTTAGCTTTTAACTACCCAAAAGTAATCCACCGACATCAACCAAACCATATGACAATTTCGAATAAGAATCACTCAACGGAAAAAAAGATGCTTTACAAACAACATCTTATTTCTCAATTAACTGTCGTGCTACAAAAGCTAAATCAGTTCACCATCTAAAAACTGTGATACTGAATTGAAAGTATAGAAAAATGCATATTTTTGTTGAAGATAAGATTTGGAAAATGCAAAATGCCAAGAAACACCAAAACTACAA